AAATGTATGACAATGGTGTAAAGGGTCAAAGAACTGAAAGAGCACTTTCATCATGTCTTCATTAAGGCTTGAGGTAACCAGATTAAGAAGTCGACCATGTCTTTTGGTAAATGGAGAATGATCAGGAACCCTCGATGTTAACTCTTTGAGTTGAGGAGGCACTCTTACGAGGTTGACTTGGATAGTATTCCTGCGAGTGAAAGCCATGTCCTACAAAACAACACAAAGATAAACCCCAAAAATCGTTGAAATGGTTAGTGCAAAATGTCATGGTATGATGTCATGATGTTATGTACAAGTAAACATATACACACAAAGCAAACAAGTCCTTAGGTTTAGGCTTGCATGAGGTTCATAGGTAAGTACCCTCTTTAAGTTTAGTTGGTTCAACATATACTAGAAAGTAATCGGGTTCTAGAGAATCTCAATATCACTGATCTTTCTTCATCGGGCATTATTTCAGCGCAAGCCTCTTTATTGGCGACCGAAATATCCTGAAAGTCCAATCTCAATGAGCGTAGTATCGAGTATCAAACAACTTCAGACTGCACCAAAGCCGGCTACCTCACTACTTCTTAATGTCCAAGTTGTTCAATTAAAGGTTCTACAGGCAGTTAGTGCTTTATGACACTGCACAGCGGCCTCGTATTCTCCTTGACTGGACTCAAAGGATACCGGTACCAACAAATGTGTCACACTAACGCAGTCATCGCTTCAACCATGTCGGTATACCCCACATAATCCCCACGATTTATTGTTACTTACCTAATAATGTTCCCCAATCCGAGTGGAGGATCAATAAAAACCCAAGCAAGGACCCATAAATGTAAAGCAAAAAAATCAAACAATGAAAGAATTTAAAGGTGATCTAGCTCTAAGGTAACCCCACTTTTTAAGTATCTTCCCAGCAGAGTCTCCAGTTCTGTGATACGGTGGGAGAATTGACTTGGGTGTTTTGCGTTTGATCATAATTGTTGCAGATAGCAAGAGTCGCCACCGGCTTTTATTTTATCCAATAAAGGAAAGGGTGAAAAGAACAGGAAAGACCTTTTGAGAATTTTCTTGAGTTCGGGGGGTAGGTTATGAAAAGGGAAGGTGTTATCACACTTTTCATTCGTAGTTATCTACAGACTCTTAGTTGCTAGCTCACTTTTGAAATTATTTGTTTAAAAATGTGTTTGTGATGGGTTTTTGAAAGTATTTTTGAAAGTGTCTTCGTTTAGGTGAACTTTGTAATGATTCTCGTCTCTATAAGAATGTATACAAAGTGTTGTCTTTTAAAAATGTTTCATTTGAAAGTGTTTGTGTGTTTTGTGAGATGTTTTAAAATTGGTGTGACCAGACAACTATGAATGTTCTACCTACTCAAAAAGTCTTAGTTCTTTTCCTCCTCCTTTAGATATTGCTATATTACCATTGATTGGTAAGAAGCCCTATCATTGGATGTGAAGGGACATGCACGGGTCGTCGTATAGTCATAAAAGGCAACATTGTAGGATACCTTAGCAATTTGTCGTAAGGGACTAAGATCGTTTTACGAAGGCAACATCGAAGGGTCATCGAGGGACCACGATCTTGTTTTCGAAGGTCATTGCTAAAGTATCTCACGTTCGAGGGACATGACTATTTTCTTCTCAAGGAAACAAGCGAGGTTAACCCTAGAGGTGCAAATGTGCAAAGTGATTGTTTTTTATGTTTTGTTTGTCTTGAATTAGGGTTTTCTATTGGTTGATTTTAGTCTTGCCATACAAACCCTAATTACTAGAATTTTATTCGAAAGCGATAAATTGCAAAAATTTAAAGTCCTACGTTATTACAATACTTTTAGGGGATGGGGGTATAAGTTTAATGAATGTGGATGAAAGTGATAAAGCCCTAATTACTATTACAAACCATTAATGATCCAAAAACATCAACAAAAGGTCTCAAAAATCAAGAATTTTGGTGCCTGTCTGACACGGGTCGTGTCTTGTGACATGGGCACCCGTGTCTGGACCTTGTAATTATTCCTGCATAACTTTTTTGTTCCAGACGAGCTAACACGGGCCGTGTCCTGTGACACAGGCACCTGTGTCAGAATCCTGTCCTGCCATTTTACCAAGTTTTAATCCCAGTAAGAGGGACACGAGTCGTGTCCTATGACACGAGAATCTGTGTCAAAACCCCATCTTGCCATTTTTCATGTTTTCTTCTTGACACGACCCGTGTCAGACTTCCAGAAGCATTTTTCTGTAGTTTTGAGTGTTTGCAACTCTTCTACTTTGTTTTTTCATGTTTTATTCTTTTGAAAACGAAAGTAAATGATGTATGAACAAGGATATCACAGTTTGAGAAAACTTACCTCTTGAAGTGAAAAATCGAAATGTGTATGGATGTTTCCAGGTGCAATGTGATGATTGATTGAGTTTCCTTAGACCTCCCTGGAGTTCTTCCAATCTTTACTTTGTGCTGAAAGTGTTTGAATCTCTCCAACCAAGTCAATTTGCAAGACAATGTTTTTGAGTTTGGACGGTGATGATAATGATGTTATATAAGTTGTTCTTGTGTTTGAACAACTTCTATATGATGTATATGAAGTGTGTGGATGGTTTATTTGGACAGAAATACAAGGTTTGAGAGATTTGAAGATTTTGGTTTCTAAGCTCAAGAGTGGAGGTTTTGTGGACAGTTATAGTTTTTTGAGAGTATGAGGAGTTTTGAGAAAACTTGTCTACACCACCCAAAACTTCTGCCCTTGGCTTGAAAATGACCTCTCTATTTATAGAGGAGGTTTGAGAGAATGAGAGAGTTTATTTTACAAGCTGTCAAAATTCTGGTTTAGTTGAGATGAAACAACCAAGTTATTATAAAAATTGGTGTTCTAATGCATGGTACAAGCATGGTTTGAAGTTTTTATAGGCTTTTATGCATGTTGCTTCTTGCTTTGATATTGTGTATGTGCAGAGAAAACAATTGAGAGGCTCAAGGAGTTGACAATTGCATAAAGCTTACTTTATGTGAATGGCAATGGTGCCTTTGTGCTATAAATGGAATGATGCAATGGATAATACTTGAATCACTTGGATAATGGTTCAATCAATTGTGTAAACATCTGATTATAGATAGATTTGCATGTCAAAAGGCATGCAAAGTAAGATTATGCAGTATTGCATAAGGATTTTGTTATATGTTCTTCAACAAAAGGACTTGCAATTCAAGAATGGATGCCCAACTTCAGGCCCTTGAATCTCCTAGCTCAAATATGATAAATTCATGCTCTTGGATGTTTTGGAAAGCTTCAAACATCCTCTACAACTTTCATGTTGACCATTTTGACAAAATCATCTTGGAACCATGTGAAAAAATGCCAAGAAGTTGGGATAAAATCCTGATCAAAATCTGTTGAAAATTTCTAAGTGTTAGATGAAAATGTCATGACTTCATGGGCTTATATCTTCAAATCTAAGCGTTTTTTGGACATCATCCCTCTAATTCAAAGTTGTAGAGTTCATCAAGATCTACAACTTTCATGTTGAAAGTTTCCTTTGAATCATCATGCATCTTGGTGAAAAATTGGCATGAAGTAATGAAACTATCATGTACAAAACACTTAGAAAAATTTTCTAAGTCTTGAAAAGTTTGACTTTTCAAATTGACTTTTGACTTTCTTGACTTTTTGATGATCAAGCTTGATATTCTTGAATGTCTTGATGAATTTTGATCTTTGAAACTTAATATTGACCAAAAAGTCAAAGTTTGACTTTTGGTATATCAGTTGACTGAATTTCAGCTATCAACCAATTGATCTTGAGAAATGAATTGATATATGCAATTAGGTCAAAATGATGCATTTGAATCCTTGATACCATGTTTCAAACCAATAGATTGTGTATTAGGTCAAAACTCAGTGATCAGTCGTTCTCAATCAAAATCCTAATTTGTGGTCTCAGTGTTTCGAAGGTGATTTTGTTTGATCAATTCCTTGAGAACCCTTGAGCATTGAAGATCTTTTGTGAAATATCTTGAGAAAAGAGAGGACAAATTTTAGAATACAACAAAAACGTTCACTTTACCGGCAATATACCATCACGAGAATTTATGATCACTGAGTACACCCCCTATTGAAGATTTGCAATACTTATTGCAACACCTTCTACCATATGGCGACAGTCAAAAAATTGTGAAGATCGAGTATCGCTCGCCATCCATTGACAACGAAGGGAAGCTTGAGTTCATTAATCATGAGCTAAAGACGACCACTGATTTACGGGCTATGTGGACTACCTATTTCGATTTAGAATCGAAAGTTTCGATCGAGCTCGATGTGATAGTTTCAAGAACGATCGAAGAAATTATGAAGATGTTGCAACGTCCACTTAGATATTGAAGTGTAATGTTTAATGTATGTTTAAATCCCTTGTGTATTGCTTATTTTATGATATTTTTAGTTTGACAACTTTGTTCATCTTCAATTCTGTTTTTTTGCATTTTATAATAGATGGTACCAGAAATACAATGTCGGATTGGACACAGAAATGTAACTCCAATTTTGATTGTTTTCTAGTTACCTATAGATGCATCCCGAAAATGCATATACGACTCCCGAAGGCATTTATGTATTTTCGCGCGGTGAAATAGAAATATATAAGATGCTTTAAGAAATTCTCATAATCAAATCACCTCCTCACATCAAGATAAGAAGCAAATAACTAATTTATTGACGAGTTTATTTCATCTCCCTCGGATTCACAAGCACTTGTTTTCTTTTACAAAAGATTCATAACGTCGACCCTCCTAACAATTAGTGACTGAATTTGAGGAGTCTACTTGTAAGGGAAATCTATACTTTGCAGCAATTCTCACTCAAAAACCAAAAACAAAATCTTATATTATAAAAGAAAATAATGAAACTTGAGATAAGAATATGCTTTCTTCCCACCAGAAATTTATAGTTGCACAATTTACAATAAGATTATGTAAAAATTGGGAGGGGGTCAAGTTTGGTTGCTTCTCATTCAGTTTCATGAACTCTTCAGAGCTGCTAAAGCTTCCCTTGTTGCCAACGAGACAACTGCATCCGAAGCATTTGGCAAATAATAATACTTCCCTGCAGTATGAGTTTTTTTTATGAACCCAGTTTTCTTCTGTTTCAGAACTAAATACATTTATTCAATAAAATAGCAGTACACAAACCTTGAGCAACTCTAGCAATCTCTTTAGCGAACCCCGTTGAGACAAATTTGTTTTCAGTGTCGATGACAAGGAGAGACATTCCTGTTTTATATATCTTTGCAGCTACCTCAATAATTTCATCCTTCATCAAAACAAAGTTTTTAGTTAGTTCATGTTAAGAGAAGTTGGAACCGAACATGTAGAATGTAAAATCCTGTGAAGTTGAGATAGAAAAATAACAAATTTTTCCCACTAGAAAAGGAGATTAAGAAAAAACAACAGAACGTGTGGCGTCTAACATGTTAATATTTAATAAACCTCTCAAAGTGGTAAAATAGATATTGAAACCTCAAAGGAATGATGTTAACTGTATATTAATGGCATTACATGTTACGAGTTCAATATAAATGGCTTCCACTCATAAGTAGCAAGCTCCCGACCATACATAAAACCAAAGTTAGGGTTTAGATTCTCATTTCTTTGGTTACTAAGGAGATTGTTCATCTCATTTTGACGTCCTAATATGTTTAATTACAAAGCTTAGATGTACCTTCAATTCTTGCGATGTAGGTTTAGGGGCATCACTAGCAGCAGCAGCTTCGGGGTCATTTGACCTTTTCAATGATATGTTGGCTCGACCATCAGTGATTGCAACAATCATTATACGTCCAACATCACCACTTTTCTCTGCATTTAATCCAACCCTAACAGCCTAGGCATTTTCAAGAAGAAGAATAAGCTTTAGAAGATTCAGCAAAAGATATATTTTGGGAGACAAAGTCCTATCTGATTCATGAAAGACCAAACTGATATAAAGAGGACTATATATGAAATTACAAACATTTCTTAATCAGAAAACACAATATAAACAAACATCTAAACTGACGTTGTCCTTCTCTCTACTGCTTTGAGTTTATGGCCATTGTCATTTGCACACAAGTGCTAAAGTCAATTCCTTAAACATAGTTGGAAAGCACACAAGTGCTAATGTCAATTCCTTAAACATGGCAATAGTTGGAAATCACCATTTAAAATATTAAGAGTTTAAAGGTAGTGCACAACAATGTAAATCAATATTACACATACAACCAATCAAAATCTTTATACTTGCCATGTCATATCAGTATTTTAAAAATAAAAGTGTGTTTTAATTGGATATATGTCTCTCATTGGTTGAGTGTAAAAATATTTTACACTGTCAGTGCGTATTCCTTTTTCTCATATTAAAAACAGGTTCAGAGTAACATAAACAGCAGTCCATAGTTTTCTAAATTTGACCTCAGTAAAACTTGTGTTTGTCGTAAATTTAAAATTTTAAATATATTACTATACTAAACAAGAGATCTTAAAAAATCTGCATACAGTGGTAAGACCATGTGCAAGGGGTGACCCTCCACCACATGGCAGTCTTTCAAGACGTTTCCTTGCCATTGCAATCGATCTAGAAGGTGGCAGAAGAACTTCAGCAGAATCTCCACGAAATGGAATTATAGATACCTATTTAACAAGCATAGTAATTATTAGTAATAAGATTATGGAGACAGTTTCATAATAAATTAATCTTGTTTTATGTTAAAGCCAACAAATATCACCACTTAAACTCTCATGTGTTTAGATTAGGTATATATAATGAATCATATTAACAATTCATACTTATTGTAATTGTTCTATTCTAAAACAGTGATTCTAATTTGAGAATTTGTAATTATGCAAATTGTTGGAAAATTTTATATTTCCAGTTTTATTATTTCCTTTATTTCTCATTATTCTGCGTTAAAGAGAAAATTAAATGTATTAATTGTATCTTCTCTATATAAACCAGCCTAAGGCTGAGGAATAAAACACAACAGCTTTTATTTATTTTTTCTAATATGGTATCGAGAGCACTGGGTTAGGGGTTACTATAAAGCTTTCCACAACTATGGTGAATAACATACCCGACCCGCTTTCTTACCCGACTCGTTTCACATACCTATTTAGCCACCTATGACAAATAACAACAGGTGGTCTTCCCCATCACAAGCCTACACCGGATCCAGCCAAGGCAAACAACCGCCGCCTGAGTTGGGCGTCGGCCGTGGAAACAGCGGTGGCCGCGGAAACGGCGATGGTCGCGAAAACGATGAAAACAGTAACAACATTGTTTTTGACAGTAATGACGACAACAATGAAAACAGGAACGACATTGTTTTTGGTGACAGTTATTCCAACATAGACAGTAATGATCAAGAGAGTTCCTCGTACTCCCTCAAGGTCAATATCCCTAAAATGAATGGGAATAACTATAATGAATGGGCTCAAACCGTTCGATTGGTATTGGATAGCAAAGGGAAACTTGGTTTCTTAACAGGAGCAGTAGCTGAACCGACAACAGGAGACCCTCGTTACAAACAATAGAAGTCTGAAAACTCCTTGAGTATTGTGTGGTTAGTAAGCTCTATGGAAACTGAAATAGGTAAGCCTTACATGTTTTTATCTTCCGCAAAGGATGTGTGGGAAGTTGTTAAGGAGACATACTCTGATATTCAAAACTCCTTCCAAATTTTTGGTTTAAAATCAAAGTTATGGCATGCGAAACAAGGGGACATGAATGTAATTGCTTATTACAATGAGCTGCTGACGCTGTGGCAAGAGTTAGATCTCTGTTATGATGACAATTGGAGATGTACAGAAGACAGTGTTTTGTTTCTCAAGAGGCAAGAAAATGATCGTGTATTCATGTTTCTCGTCGGGCTCAATAAAGATCTTGATGAGTTAAGAGGTAGAGTTTTAGGAAAAGTACCATTGCCAACTCTTCGTGAAACTTTTGCAGAAATAAGAAGGGAGGAGGCACGATAAGGAATTATGATGGGCAAGAGTACAAGAAGCTCTGAATTTGAAGGCTCAGCTCTGGCTGCTAGGAACCTTGACGAGGGAAGAAGGTCAGACAAAGTTCCTTGGTGTGATCATTGCAAGCGCGAATGGCATACACGTGAAACTTGTTGGAAGCTGAAAGGCAAACCTCCTAACTGGAAGAAGAAAGGTGGTCTTGCATTTCAGGCTAGTAATTCTGATCAAGGGCAGCAATCCCCTCAAAACTCAGCTTCCACTCACTACGGAACAACTAGACAGACTGTACAAATTCCTCGAGTGTCCAACCCCTTCTTGTTCTATAGCAACAAAAGGTAATTGTGCATTTCTTAGTGTCAGTCCCAGTCATACTTAGATAGTAGATTCTGGTGCCTCTGATCTCATGACAGGTGAATCTACTTTGTTCTCTTCATATAGTCCATGCGTAGGTAATAAAAAAATAAAAATTGCATATGGCTCCTTTTCAGCCATTGCAGGTCAAGGGTCAGTTGTGTTGTCTCCAATGTTACCTCTTAAAAATATCCTTTATGTTCCAAACTTATCGTGTAATTTAATCTCCGTAAGCAAATTAGCCCAAGATATAAATTTTGTCAAACTAATTTTTTCCGATCTCACTGTGTCTTTCAAGATTTGAACTCGGGGAAGATGATTGGCAGTGCTAAGGAGAGTGGAGGACTCTACTACCTTGTCGTAGGATATGCATCACAACTACCTTCAAAAACAATAAGTTCCTGCTTTAAGTCTTTTTCTATTTTGAATAATAAAGATGACAACATTATGGTATGGCATTTAAGATTAGGTCATCCTAGTTTTCATTACTTAAAACACTTGTTTCCTAGGTTATTTCATAATAAGAACTTTTCTTCGTTTAAATGTGAAGCATTTGAGTTTGCAAAGCATCATCGTTCCCAATTTTCAATATAGCCTTATAAACCATCAAAACCGTTTTCTATTATTCACAGTGATGTTTGGGGCCCTAACCGTACAAGTACACTCTCTCTCAAAAAATGATTTATCACATTTATAGATGACCATACAAGAGTATGTTGGGTGTACTTGTTAAAAGGGAAATCAGATGTTTGTCAAGCTGTAAAGAATTTTTTTACAATGGTGCAGAACCAATTTCAAACAAAAATCCAAGTCTTTAGAAGTGATAATGGCAAAGAATATTTTAACAATATCCTGGATGATTTTTTTCTAAAAAATGGAATTGTTCATCAAAGTTCATGTCCTAATACTCCTCAACAAAATGGAGCGACCGAAAGAAAAAATAGACATTTACTAGAGGTTGCTAGAGCTCTACTTTTTTCAAATAAAGTACCAAATTATTTGTGGGGCAAAGCTGTTTTAACAGCTGCGTACTTAATTAATAGGATGCCCTCCAAAATTCTCAATTTTCAAACTCCTATTAATGTCTTCAAAGAATGTTTTCCTAGTACTCGTGTTTTAACTGATTTGAATTTAAAAATCTTTGGTTGCACAGCCTTTGTTCGTGAACATAAAAATGTTGGTAAACTTGAACCACGTGCTATAAAATGTGTCTTTGTTGGATACTCCCCAATCCAAAAAGGATATAAATATTTTGATTCGAAAAATAAGAAAATGTTTGTCACTATGTATGTTACATTCTTCGAAAATAAACTTTTTTTTATGACACTCATCTTCAAGGGGGGAGATAAACGAAGACTCGTTTCAGATATTTCAAATTGAGGACATGAGTTTTTAAATAACTTATCATTGCCAGTATCACAAAATTTTTAAGACTTTTACACCTGCACCAATAGAAAATGGTCATGATTCTTTATTTGATCCTACTCCTGTTATGAGTAAGGAACCTTGTGAATCCGAACCTACATTTTCTCTTGTAGAAACCAATGAGAATCCTGAAAACGATGATAATGATGATCTAATTGAAATGCCACAAAATAATGAATCACTTCAAGAAAACAGATTTGAATAGGAAACAGGACTTGGAAAAAGGAAAGGTTTTTGTGAAAAAACACCATAAAGGAAGGAACGAGTCCACATCTCAACACTGCTAGGAATCTGAACCGGGAAATGATCAACCTCCTAACAAACGAAAAGGTAAGTCTATCTCTGTTTCTGAAAGTCGTATTTTGTATCCTGATATAGATGAACATGTTGCCATTAGAAAACCTGTCAGATCTTACACAAAACACCCCATGTCCAAATTTATATCATATTCAAATTTGTCTTCAATTCATCTATGTCTGCCTTCACCTCAAAATTGTCTAGTGTAGAAATCCAAAAAATGTACAGGTTGCTCTAGAAACCCCAAAGTGGAGGGAAGTTGTACTTGAGGAGATGAAAGCTCTTGAAAAGAACAAAACTTGGAGTGTTATGTCACTACCAAATGGCAAGAAGACAGTTGGATGCAAATGAGTGTTTACTGTGAAGTATAATTCAGATGGGTCAATTGAAAGGTACAAGACTCTCTTAGTGGCTAAAGGCTTTACTCAGACCTACGGTATAGATTACTCTGAGACATTTGCTCCTGTTGCAAAATTGAACACTGTCAGAATTCTTTTATCTCTTGCTGCTAACCTGGATTGGCCTCTACATCAGTTAGATGTTAAGAATGCATTTCTTAATGGCGATCTAGAAGAAGAAGTATATATGGACATTCCTCCTAGCTTTGAAAACAAATTTGAATCAAATGTGTGCAAACCAAATAAGTCTTTGTATGGATTAAAGCAGTCCCTTAGAGCTTGGTTTGAAAAACTCACCCAGTCCATGAAGAAACAAGGATACATACAAGGACAGGCTGACCACACCTTGTTCACAAAGTTCTCCCACGATGGGAAAGTTGTTGCCCTGATTGTTTATGTTGATGATATTGTCCTTACTAGAGATGATACAATGGAAATGGCAAGAGTAAAAGAGAAATTGACAGTTGACTTTGAAATCAAGGACTTGGAATTCATGAGATATTTTCTAGGTATGGAGGTTGCTCGATCAAAGAATGGTATTGTGGTTTCACAGCAGAAATACATTATAGACTTGTTGAAAGAAACAGGAATGAGTGGATGTCGTCCTACAGATACCCCTATGGATCCTAATGCTAAACTTTTGGGAGAAGGTAATGTTCCTGTTGATACTGGAAGGTATCAGAGATTGGTTGGGAAACTGATTTATTTGTCACACACCCGACCTGGTATTGCTTTTTCAGTTAGTGTGGTGAGTCAGTTTATGCATTCTCCTTTCGATGAATATCTTGAGGCAGTCTATAGGATACTGAGATATTTGAAGGGAAATCCTGGAAAAGGATTATTTTTTAAGAAGACTAGTGAAAGAAATGTGTCTATCTTCACCGATGTTGATTGGGCAGGTTCAGTCACAGATAGAAGATCAACCTCTGGATATTATACCTATGTTTGGGGTAATCTTGTGACATGGAGGAGCAAGAAACAAGGAGTTGTTGCAAGGAGTAGTGCAGAAGCCGAGTTTAGAGCTATGTCTCAAGGTATTTGTGAAGGATTATGGATCCTCAGAGTCCTAGATGAACTAAAGATGAAAATTGAGCGAGCTTCCATTGAAATTGTACTCTGACAATAAAGCTGCTATTGGCATTGCTCATAATCCAGTTCAACATGACAGAACCAAGCATATCGAGATTGACCAACACTTCATAAAGGAGAAATTAGATGCTGGAATCATATGTCTACCCTTCGTGACTTCAAGTCAGCAAACTGCGGATATCTTAACCAAAAGTTTGGGAAGACCTACTTTTGAGCATTTGATAGACAAGTTGGACATGATAGATATCTATGCACCAACTTGAGGGGGGGTGTTGGAAAATATTATATTTCCAGTTCTATTATTTCCTTTATGGCTCTTTATTTTTCTTTATTTTTCATTATTCTTCATTAAGGAGAAAATTAAATGTATTGATTGTATCTTCTCTATATAAACCAACCCAAGGCTGAGAAATAAAACACAACAGCATTTACCTATTTTTTCTAATACAAATATATCTATCAATAACCAGCTATGCACAGTTTAACCATGAAAATAACAGGTACCACCTTAGGCACGGCCAAGGAATAAAAGAATTGTTATAATTTATAAACTGCTTGAGTTCTCAGGTGACAATAACAATTCTCTTTAGGTGTCTTATTTGAAATGATGAAAATTTTGTTTTTCTTCCAGTTCTGTCTAATAATTTGTATACAAAACTCACATGGTGGATTGGCACATGTAATTTCTGAAATGATATAAAGCCTCATTTTCATTAACCGTTAAATTATAAAGAAACTCACATTGATTGTTAAAAAATATGTTGCATACAAACCTGATCCCTGCTTGTATAACTTTCTGCCAGAAGCTTAAGTGCTGCACCTTTTGCATTCTGCATTCTGTTCAATGCCATGCTTCCACTAGCATCAACCACAAATATGACCTACAACAATTAAGAATTAAGATTATTTCTTAAAAATAGTATAAAAGCTTATCCACAAACAATTCAATATTTCTGTAGTAAGTATTGTCAGAGTAAACTGGAGATTTTATATTCCAAGGTCAGTAAAATTAAATTATTGATGCAAAAATATTAACACTTAAATCCTATAAAGAAATCAGAATGGATTAATTACTAATAATAAATTGTATAGACAGTAAGACACCAAGAGTCTAAACCAAATAAGGAAGCTTTGCATAACGTCAACATCAGCCATATTTTTTCAGTTTGATGCAACAATTGTTAACTATATAGCCATTAACGTGTATGCAGGCTTAAAAGTTTTGAAAAATGAAAGTGAAGACTGATGATGGCAGAGAATATAAGAGAAGAATAACCGTACCAATGCTCCTGCTTTACGCGCCATTCTCTTTGCCCTCATGTCAGTTTTTTCAACATATACTTTTCTACGGTTTTCAGTGTCTTTTTCTCTTCGCAACTTTTGATAAGGTGCAGCAGCTCTAAGGGTTGCATCAACTGCTAATCTCTTTATGGGCCCCTGCAAACAGTGGCTTTACTTAGTAGGGGAAAAACATATATACTTGAAATTGTAATGAAAGTGAAATAGTCTTGATGATCAGAGATAATTACTTAGTGGGCATTGGCAATGTGATTCAATAAGAAAAGCATGACATAAATGCAAGTTGATATGAACTAATCAATTTTTTTGATTATATACTCAATTGGGGCTCGCCAAAGTTCCAAGAAAAAATTATAAACAACAAACCAGCTAATTATATTAGATGTTTTCACTTTCACTTGTAGAACAAACAAATGGGGTAAGGAGTACCTTTGGAAGCATTGGCTTGATGTATCGGCCTCTGTCCTCTGAAAATATGACATTTTTTGCCCTTCCAGCCTTCCCACGACGTCTCTGTGCCTGTTGGGCAAAGAAGAGAAGTTTTTCATCCACCAAACCCCCTTCAGCATCAAAGATAAATTCTTCAGGTAATTGGTCTTGCTGTTGTTCGTTCTCTTCATCCTTGTCATCCTGTTCAGAAAGACAATATTCAAATTAAACATTTGTTTCAAAAGATAGGAAACCCACTGTATTTGGCATGGTCTCCTGTGAATAAGCAAAATTTTATTACTTTAAAAAATGTCAGAATATTTTTGTTTAACTTTCTGAGAAGTGATTTAACTTAACCTCTTCCTCTTCCTCTTCTTGCTCTTCTTCTTCATTCTGTTCTTCATTAGATTCTTGGTTTTGTGGAGGCGGTGGAGGAGGAGGCGGCTGATTTTGTTGCTCGGGTGGAGTATCAGTAATGATTGACCGGGGAAGAATGACCAATTCTACCTGTATTACAAATTATACAATAAACAATTTATCCGACAGAATCAATGTAATAACGACCACTTGTACTTGATCAAAGCTCTTGAGCATAAATACATATAAAGGGCCTAACCAAAATCAGGTTTGATCATACCATTTTACAGTGATTGTCTCTCTCACACACACACAAACACACACATGCACGCGTGCGCGCAGAGAGACACAGAGGTAGTGCTAAAACTGGGATAAAACCTTAAACTTCAGCATCTCATTCTTCTAAATAAAGAAATAATCTTTAGATTAAGTCAAAGAATATTGATTTGCTATCCTTCATTATAATATAGACAATTAAGGATCAAATTATTGTCCAATTAGTAAAAGATGCTGTGATTAGTAGAGTCGGTAATTTTAGAGTTGGCAAATTATTTCAGTTCAAATGAATTTCATTTAATTTATACTCTTTTCACTTCGCAGCAAAAGAATATCACAAAGCTCGAAAAAAGGCAAAGGTAATAAAATCATATTTAACCAAATTCTTAGTAATACTAGCAACCTGCACAGCCTGATCCAAATACACGACCTTGCAAATATTGCACCATAATAGCAAAATCAAATTATGAATCTTTTTGATGCATAGTTCAAGGATATTGTTGTTTTGTTGCGCTTCCTTTTTATGAGGCTATTAGCACTATAAACGATTACTTGTAATATTGAGCTATTTAACTGAAACAAATTTAAGTAACTAGACAAATTTATATTTTAAATGTGTGGGACACACTAATTATTGACCACTTATTGTTCATGGGTAGCAGGAAAGCTATGAAGAAAGAAACCTCCACACTTCAAACTATTGGCGCTTAGTAGTTACATTCCTAGGAGGATGCTATAAGAACTGCAGAGCCGAGAATTTAAATTTCAAAGAAAGCTTACGGCTTTTTTAAGGTCATCCACATAAACCTTTTCACGTCCCTCTAGAGCAGCTAAGCACTTAGCAACACGAGCAGCATACAGCTCAGCTCTGTGTCCCTGCAGTTCACAACAAATATTTAAAATTATCAAACCACACAGCTAAGGATATCAGCTCTGATGTGCGATGGATTTTTTTTTCTCTTGAACAGAGTATTTATAGATTGACAAATTTCGTTACACTTTGCTCCAAACTTTTGTTTAAATCTTCCATGGTATTATCACTAAATCATATTTTAAATTATACAATGCACGGAAACCACTATTCTCTTTTATAATGCGTGATTATTCCTCTGTTCACTATACACTGTAACAAATATGATGATACCAAATATACTCACGATTAAATACTAAATCATAAAAACAGTTTCAGATAAAGAAGAGCTTGTGTTAGACCACAAGTCATTAATAAATAGCATAGGAGAACCAGGTAGGTTTGGGCAGTCGCTTAACTAGGTAGTTAGGCAGTTATGCTTGTGTGATAGCATTTATGTGTTTTCAGATTTATAATAAATATGAAAGTTATGGAAAAGGAGGTTATTCGGTTATTTGGATTAAGGATTGGGAGGGAGAGACCAAGTTCTTGAATCTTGGAAGGGAAAATCCTTGTAGGTTGTAACACAACCATCCTTGTCTCTCAATAGATTTTCCTTTATGTTCTGGTGTGAGATTGCAATAGTAAATCTATATCCTCAGTTTTAAGACCATTCAGCAGATGATTTATCCTACAATTTATGTTCTTTCTTATCCTACTTTATTCGAATATAGGTACCAGTTCTAACACCTTGTTATGGAATGAAAAATATACTGCATTTAACGACGTCGATGAAGTGATCAACATAAAAAGAGATAGAGAAAGAAAGAATCCAGAATATTTCCTTTAAAATTATAACCCTTCTTTGGCCTCAATTTTACCCGTTATTTGTTGTGTCCAAACTTAATATTGCACTTATAGTCTCCTAAACTTAGTTAAGTAGATGAGAAAATTTAGAATGATCAATTATTGAGGCAATGTTTTCTTGTCCCGCTCACTTGATTGGTTTGAGCTAGATGAAGGACAGTCTAATAGTTATAAGTAGAGTAGAGGGAGATCAAGAAAGACTGTAAGTCAAACCATTAAGAGAGATATAGATGCCCTTTCAAGAAAATAGAGATTTGGTGGTAAAGATCTGTCTTTGAACTTAATACATGATAAGGAATTATGACATTATCTGAATTCTTAAGCAATGTAGCAGAAACTTCGAAGAATGTATTTATTTTCAATTAGCAGAAGAATGAGATATCTGTTTGGTGATTTACTTCTTTAGAAAGTAGAAAAATTGCTTCCCTTAAGAAACAAAAAAGAATTGACCAAAGTTAACAATCAATGGATATCTGTAGTGTACATCATATTTACCATATAAAAAAATTCTTCCGAAACAAAAAAACTTGTTACATACCTGGACACCACCTCGTAAAGCCTCGATAACCAGGTATTTTAATTGTTCTTTGCTAATAGTAACTTCCTTGAGATACTCTCTAGCCAAGATGATCTGCATTTCATAAATATTAAGTCATATCACTGTTTCTGCCAATCTGCTCAGCAAAGCCTATATTGTGGAATATGGAATAAAAGCTGTCAACTCGGCATTTAACTATAAACCAAAAGACCAAAATAAAATAGACAAAAGGAATCTAAAAAGCAGATACCGAGCTCACATATATATCGTAGCATTAGTAATTTTGTTGTAAGTTTTACAAAGTCTCAGCTGGGAGACTCAACTGCATTATTTGCTCTTGGACTTGACCCAAAAACCCAGATTTGGATAAAATCGTATAGGTCCACACCACCTATCATAACCAGCATTTACATTGTAGAAATGACATTATGAATGTGAACCTATGCATGATTGTTACAATCATACTTGCCATCCATACAGCGGCTTGAAACTCTTAAGACCAAGTAATTTTATTTATTGCGTGCATAGCTTAGGCTACAGGCTATTCTTCTTTACTTTGTTTTCTTGTTGGCAGAACCCAGGTTAAAATTGTGTTTCTTCGAAAGGATAAGGATGAGTAGAGGGGAAGAGAATTTTGGAAAGTTTATATAGTGAAATCCAGGGCCAGTTCAAGTTACGGCTGTTTTAACAGTTAGTTAAAGATCACAACCAAAGTAGAGGAGAAACACAGAAACAACAACATATAAGTAGTGAGTGGAAATAACAGAGATCCGATTGGATTAGGTGCAGAGTTTGCAAGGGAGTGCGGGGACTCTCAAATTTCCCGGGGTTATGTGTACCTATCTATGACTTGTGTTCTTCCGTCCTCCCTTGTGATTTTACAATCATCTTTATTCAGACTCGGGGAGGAGAGTGATATTCAATAAAAATCCTATTGTTTCCTATCTGTTCTTCTTTTCCGATATGATTCCTATTACACTCCTAGGCATACCTGTGTCTTTGCATTGTCTGTATCCTCATCGACCATTTTAAATACTTGGGCACAGTTATCCTGAAATTCTGTTGCAATTCCAACAGCTTCAACACGGTTTTCAAAACTCATTGGAAGATCTGCACTGCAGAGGAGTGTATAATTAGAAACAAGAAAGATAATCAAATTTTGATAACTCATTTAATTAACTAAGTATGGGGTCAAGGTTTTCTTAACCATTCAATAGTTTTTTATTAGTTGATAAAAATATGTCGACTTAACATTTTTCAATTGATTTTACTTACCATGTCAGATTTCAAAAGAAATAGCAATGAATCAGCTATTGTCAAACAGAAAGAGAGAGATGAAGAGACAAAGAAGTGAGAGAGAGAAATGGAGGCAGAGGAAAGTGAGAATTTCCATCACTTCAGGCCAGTTTCGGTGTATTTTAATTATAATGGCTTCATGACATTTTTAATGAGCTCGGAATGATGCTTATCTGGCATTTAACACTGAAGTTTTTTCTACTTTCATGAAATTATGTAGCTTATTTGCCTCATGGCCACACTCATCTTTGACCTATCTTGTAAGGGGAGGAAAACAAAAAAGAATCCCAAAGGGGGAAAATTGTAGATTACAGCAGTACCTCAAATTAATTGCAATGCGGTCTAAAAGATGTTCACGAACAGAACCCTCGTCGGGGTTATAGGTAGCAATCAGAAGGGGCCTGCATGGGTGCCTAAAGCTGATTCCCTCTCTTTCAACAATATTTACTCCTTCAGTCAGTACATTAAGGAGCAAATTACTGATACCCTCGTCCAAAAGATTAATTTCATCAACATATAAAACACCTCTATGAGCTTCAGCGAGTAGGCCTGGTTGGAAAACAGTCGTGCCTGTCTTCACAGACTCCTCAACATCAACTGATCCAATGAGTCTGTCCTCTGTGACTCCAAGAGGAATCTAAAGCATGAACAAATATATGATGGTTTATAGGAAAAAAATATCTTCATAAAAAATTATCAGAATGAATCTTGAATTATAGAACTTAATCATATACATGGAAAGCTTATTCTCTGAACAGTACCTGAACAAAAGGAGACTTGATGATATGAGTTTTAACATTTCCATCAGAATCATATTCCACGCGTTTGTAAAGACCATCTTCCCACCTAAAAATGTTAACTCTTGCTCAATGAGCTTAAAAAAGGGAAAAAGAATTATCTAAAACAGCTTTTGAAACAGAGACTCAACAGTAAAAATAAGAAAGGGGTCAACAAAGATTGCTTCATCCCAGTTAAAAAGGCGTGAATCCAATTAGGATTACCTGAAAACAACTTATTAATTCTTCAGCAAAAAAAAAAAAAAAAAGAGAGGAACACAACACAAAAACTTAAAGGGATGGTTATACTATTGTTGGTTCTAACTAACTACTAGGCTAAGTATGTATATCTCAAAGATGGCACACAAATTTACAATTGCTTATTTAGTTAAACATTAACAGTGTTACAGCATCATCAACCATGAACGACCAAATCACGCTCCATTGAAAACGTATGAACAAACTCAAACCGGGAGAAAACATGCCACCTTTTTTAAATCAAGTTTTTCCCGAGCATGTTAAAATAATAAAGTTATTTTATTTCTCAACACTCCAAAGTCCAAAGTGGTCAACATTTTTGTCAAAGAAAAAAAGAAAAAGCCAGTGACCTTACTCTTCTTGGCACGAAGGATCTGCATTGGCTATGGAACCTTGTACTACTTCAATAGGCGGCAGAATTGCATGCATTCCACGCGCCATAATTGTTTTAGCAGTTCCTCGCCTTCCTGATATAGCAATCCCTCCAATCCTAGGGTCAGTAGCCCCAAGTAAAAGAGCAGTTTTAATAGCATCCTGCATAAAAACCACAATTCGCAAAATTCATCGTTTAATGGAAAACAAAAATCAACTCACATTCAAATATCTAACCACTAAATTGGTCAAAAAATAAAAAACCAAATGTTATATCACCATCATTTCATGAAACAAACAAATGCATGAATAAGCAAATTCCAATTTCATAATGTTTCCATAATAACAAGTAGTATAAAAGATCATTATAAATAAATAAAAAAGAATAATAATTACTTGGCCTATAACAGCAGCGAGAGGGAAGTACTGTCTTCCGTAATTGGAAGCATCGAGCTTCTCCTCAGAAGCTTGCAGCACGGCTCCATTTTCGGATTGAGCATGAAGTTTCGGAACGGTGCGTTTTGGTGGAAATGTGGAATGCAAAGAGAGAAACGGTTTTGATGTGAATGAAGCAGCGAGAAGAGAGTGGAATCGGAGTTGAAGATTGGGGGAAGTAGTGGTGTGAGTCAAACTGAAACTCATTTGATTCTTTGATTGATTTCTTATCCGTTCTTCTCTTCTTTATTTCTATTTTGATTTTGGAGGCTTAACTGAGGAATCAATATAAATAATAAATAAACTAGCAATAATGCATTTTTGAGTAGTGTGAATATTTTTTAAGTTAAAAATTAAAATATTTTAAAAATACATGGTTCATTGATTCAGAAATTTTAAAATATAATATAAAAATATATGTGTGATTAATTCAATAATTAAATAGTTTAAAGATTTAAATTTTTAAAAAAAATATCAAGCCATTGTTCCATAACTAAATACTCTCTTAGTATCAAATTATTAGAGAAAAATATTCCCACTTTGTGTGATATAGAACTCAGTTTTACAAATGGTGTTAGATGACTTCATTGGTCTTTATATTTAGGGTTTTGGTCTAAAGGACCTAGAACCTTATTAGAGACAATTGTCCAAGGGGACAAATATGTAAGAGGATTTCATCAATCCTTGTCATCTAACAATCTATCATGGGTAATAGTTTATAATATGTTCATTTCTTGTTATACCTAGCTTCTTAAGACTTGACTAACTTAGTATCTCATGTGTTGTACTCTAAAATTTGTCCTCTCTTTTCTCAAGACATTTCACAAAAGATCTCCAATGCTCAAGGATTCTCAAGGAATTGGTCAAACAAAATCACTTTCGAAACATTGAGACCATAAATTAGGGTTTTGATTGAGAACGACTGATCTCTGACTTTTGACCTAATACACAATCTATTGGTTTGAAGCATGGTCTCAAGGATTCAAATGCATCATTTTGACCTAATTGCATATATCAATTCATTTCTCAAGATCAATTGATTGATAGTTGAAATTTGGTAAACTGATGAAAAAGTCAATTGTACACTAAAAAGTCAAACTTTGATTTTTTGATCAAATCTGAGTTTCAAAGATCACACTTCATCAAGACATTCAAAAATATGAAACTTGATCGTTAAGAAATCAAGAAATTCAAAAGGTCTTTGGAAAAGTCAACATTTTCTATACTTAGAAATTTTTCTAAGTGTTTTAAACATGACAATTTCATAACTTCATGACATTTTTTCACCAAGATGTAAGATAATTCAAAGGAAACTTTCAACATGAAAGTTGTAGATCTTGATGAATTCTACAACTTTATATTAGAGTGTTGATGTCCAAAAAATGCTTATATTTGAATATATAAGCCAATGAAGTCATGACATTTTTATCTAACACTTAGAGAAATTTTCAACAGATTTTGGTCAGGATTTTATCCCAACTTCTTGGCATTTTTTCACATAGTTCCAAGATGATTTTATCAAAATTTCCAACATGAAAGTTGTAGAGAATGTTTCAAGCTTTCCAAAACATCCAAGGGTATGAATTTATCATACTTAAGCTAGGAGATTCAATGGCATGAAGTTGGGCATCCATTCTTGAATTGCAAGTCATTTTGTTGAAGAACAAATAATCCAATTTGCATGATGTGCTGCATAATCTTACTTTGCAGGCCTTTTGACTTGCAAATCTATCCATAATCAGATGCTTACACAATTGATTGAACCATTATCCAAGTGATTAAAGTATTGTCCATTGTATCATTCCATTTATGACACAAAGGCACCATTGTCATTCACATAAAATATGCTTTATGCAATTGTCAACTCCTTGATCCTCTCAATTATTTTGTCTGCACATACATAATGTCAAAGAAAGAAGCAACATCCCTAAAAGTCTCTAGCAACTTCAAACCATGCTTGTATCATACATTGGAACACCAATTTTCATAATAACTTGGTTGTTTCATCTCAACTAAACCAGAATTTTGACAGCTTGTAAAACAAACTCTCCCATTCTCTCAAACCTCCTCTATAAATAGAGAGGCCATTTGTAAGACAAAGAAAAAGTTTTTGTGGTGTAGATAAGCCCTCAAAATCTCATACTCTCAAAAAGTCATAATTGTCCACAAAACCTCCACTCTTGAGCTTAGAAACCAAAATCTTCAAATCTCTCAAACCTTGCATTTCTGTCCAAACAAACCATCCACATACTTCAAATACATCATACCGAAGTTGTTCAAACACAAGATAAACTTCTATAACATCACTATCACCATTCTCCAAACTCAAAAACAGCCACTTGACTTCTCCTAGACAATACAACAACTCTAAATCAAAACACAAATTTCAGCTTCAAAGGTAAGTTTTCTTGACTTTAAGCTCTTCATACAAGCATCATTAATGATTAACTTGTGAAGATAAAATGTAGATATCATTTCCTTGAAGCTAACCATATGCTTGCTTTTCATTTTTACTAACCATGTGTTGAGAACTGACTTTTACATGTAGCAGAACAATGATAGAACAAAAAAAACAGCAGTATGAGTCGATACGAAACACTATGAGTCGACACATACTATGTACAAAACAGGTTATGAGTCGATACAAAATGCGCATGTGTCCATACAAAACAGATATGAGTCGATACAAACCCTTACGTGTCGACTCATACTGAGCTATTTTTGACTTTCAGGAGCAAGAAAATGACATGTGTCGATGCAAAGCAGATATGTGTCGATGCAAAACAGAAAAATGAGCCAATGCAAGCTATTATGTATCAATACATGTTGAGTTTGGTTTTGATTTTCCAAAATATTTTACTTATTATTTATAACTTTAATATATTTCTATTGTTATTTCTTTCTAAACCAAAATCCAAAAAAAAAACATTTTTTATTAAAATCAATTTCTTTTCTTAAAATTAATTTAATATTTAGACTTAGGTTTATCTTTTCTTTTATTTAAAATTAATTTAGAATTTAAGGCTTTTAATTAATTAATTTTTTATATATACTAATTTAATTTAATTAAAACCTTTTCACAAAAATTCTAAACTTGTTTCTTTAATCAAATTAATTTTCTTAATTAACTTAAGTTTAATTTTCTTAGTTTAATTTATTTATTTATTTTTAGTTAATTAGGTCAAAACCCTTTCTTCATAACAAAAATATTTTCGTTTCTTTTCATATCATTTTATTCTTTATAAATTATATTTACATTTCTTGTACATTATCATCCAACTCAATATAGTTGTAATAGTAAATTAGGATTTATTTGCTTTCATACCCCCATTTGTAAATTTGTATCCCCATCCCCTAAGTGATGTAATAGCGTGTGTGATACGGTGGGAGAACTGACTATGGCTTTGCGTTTGTTTTCGCAAATGTTTCGGTTGAGCAAGAGTCGCCACCGACTTTTTATTTTATCCTAAGGAAAGGTTTAAAAAGCACAACAAAAACCTTTGAGATATTTTCTTGGGTTCGGGGAGTAGATTATAGAAAGGGAAGGTATTAGCACCCTTTCTATCCATGGTTATCCATGGGCTCTTAGGTACTCGCTTAGATCAACTTGCCTTGGTTTTCAATTGTTTGAAATGGTGCTTTGTGTGTGGTTTTGAAAATGTTTTGAAAAAGATGCCTTGTCTAGGCTACCCTTGTGACAATTCTTTACTCGAATGTTTTACAAAAAGGTGTTTGTCTTTTTGAAAAGATGTTTCAAGGTTTTTTGAAAGTTTGTTTTAAAAGTGTTTGTGAAGTGTGGTTTGAAAAATAGGCAAGTGTTTTTGTTTTGCAAGTTGACAAGTACTTAAGAGCTATCTACCCCAAAGTTCTCAAAGATTTTTGCTATGTTTCAACCCTTTTAACAATTTTGTTCCACCATTGTATTTGATGGACAATCTTGTGTTAGGATGTGAAAGGGACGGGCGCGGGTCATCGTTTAGACCATAATTGCAATAGTGCTAAGTGTCTTTGGGCAATTTCTCTTTGAAAGGGACTTGATCACTTTAGGCAACTTTTCAAAAGCGTCATCGAGGGACTATGATCAATTGATTTGTATTGCTTTTCCCAAAGATACCTAACATGCAATATGGCCTAATTTTGAAAGGCAACAAGTGGATGTAACCCTAGGGGTGTTAGTGTGCGAGTGTGTTTTATTGCATACAAGAGTTTTTTCTTTGAATTAGGTTTTTCTATTTCATTGATTTTATCTTGCCATACATGTCCTAATTACTAGTAATAAGAAGCGGAAATATAAAATCCTACGCTATTACAACAATTAGGGGAGGGGGATACACATTTGTACATGGGGGGTTCAACGAGAAAAATAGACAAAAAAGAAAATAGCAAAAAAAACAAGATATATATATATATATATATATATATATATATATATATATATATATATATATATATATATATATATATATATATATATATATATATATATATATATATATATATATATATATATATATATATATATATATATATATATATATATATATATATATATATATATATATATATATATATATATATATATATATATATATATATATATATATATATATATATATATATATATATATATATATATATAGAGAGAGAGAGAGAGAGAGAGAGAGAGAGAGAGAGAGAGAGAGAGAGAGGGAGCCCGTGCGCTGCTGGGAGGTCATCAGAAGTTCTGACTCAGATCCGCTGCCAGATGATCAACCTCTTGGTTAAACTGTATGAGTCAGAACTTCTGACTCTGGCACCTGCAAAACAGAACCTTGTTAGTGGGGAAATCAGAAGTTCTGATTCCCCTGCGCTGCAAGACAGAAGTTTGTTAGTGGAGACACCAGAAGTTCTGATTCTGCTGAAAAGGCAATAACTCTCAGAGGTTCTGATATCATTGACAGCAAAACAGGCTTCAAATGTGCTAACATCAAAGTCAGCACTTGGTTTTTCCCTGTACTAACCAGAACATCTGCAATTCCGTTGTTACTCCACAAAACAGGAAACATATTTGGAACAGATCCAGCAAATACAAAAAAATGTTTCAGAGGTCAGAACCAACAAGGTCACAGGCAAGTCCTATACTGGCTCAGAATGTTCTGAGGTATGAAAATCCTCAGAACATAAGCAGCAACAACATGACATTTACATTATGTTTATTTGAGTATGCA